GGTGATGATAATGTTCAACTTCCAATTTCTAATAAAGATTCGCCAGGTTTTATATTTTTAAAAATAAATTTAGATTTTATTGTTAACTTAGGTAATGTCAATGAGAAAAATGTTCCACATAACATTAAAAAATGCAAATTTAATTTAAGGGATGCTTATAAATTGAAAATCAAAGAAAAACTAGTAATAAATGAAATCGATAGTAATGTAAATGATGACCTGCCATACCTAATAGAAATCAAGGAATATTTAAAAGAATCTTTATATATAGAAAGTATAACAACATATTTTTCATATTAATTTAAATATTGCTTGGTTGGGCTATGATTGACCCATTTGTTTGGGTGATTTTTCAAAATCAACAAAAGATTGGGTTTGTATGAAACCCACTATTTTATAAATGCTAATTTTATATTTGTGTTATTTATTTAGAAAACTCGAATAACATTGATGATATTGATATTATATCCCCAGTGAATCCACTTGAATATTGGAGAGTTAATGCTGTAAAATATCTAACTTTATCAACACTTGCACGTATTTGGCTCCTCCAGCAACAAATGTCCCATCTGAGTCTGCCTTCAGTACGGCAGGGGATATTGATAGTCCTTATCGTAGAAGCCTATTGCCTGAAAATCTAGAGGCTCTTATATTTATTTAAAAAAATCTAATATATTATAATTTTATATATTAAATATTACAATTTTATAAACCAACATAAAATGGATATATTATTATATATTTTTTTAAAAATTATTGTTGAAATAAAAAAATTAAATTATGCATAATTCTTTTATGCATAAAAAATATTGATTTATTAATTACATTTGGTTCAAAGAGGGGTGGTGAAAAATTAATATAAATATCGGATCAGTTTTGAACCAATATCGGATCGGATCGGTGAAAAATATGTGGATCGGCACAGCTAGTGTTGTTAATCGGCTTAGCCGAGTAGGCTCGAACAGAGCTCACCCAAATTTTGGGTCGTTTTTTCGACTCCAACTCAAAGTTTTGGTCGTTTTTCACGACTTCGACCCGAGTTCAAGCCGAAAAAAACGACTTCGACCCAAAATATGGGTCGTTTTTTAGACTCCGACCCAAGTCCAAGCCGAAAAAAACGACCTCGACCCAAAATATGGGTCGTTTTTTACGACTCCAACTCAAAATTTGGGTTGTATTTTTCGACTTAAACTTGAAATTTGGGTCGTATTTTTCGACTCAAACTTGAAATTTGGGTCGTATTTTTCGACTCAAACTTGAAGTTTAGATCGTATTTTTCGACTCCAACTCAAAGTTTGGGTCGTTTTTCTGACTCAGACTCAAACATCGGGTCGTTTTATTCAATCCGACCCAAAATATGGATCTTTTTTTTTAAAGACGACTTAAAGTTAGGGTTGCTTTTTTTCACCCCTAACCCAATATCTAGATCATTTTTTTCGACCAAAAGTCAAATAACATTTAGTATATATTAATATTATCGGCGGGAAAGTTACTTAAAGCTTCTTTAAATTATAATATTCATCATAGTTATATTTAAAAATTTTTAAGTGAAGATGTACCGTAGAAAAGTGTCATTTGTCATGATGATTATTTTTGAACTTTTTTAAATGAAATAGATAAAAATATATATTGTAGACATGTTAAATCAAAATTTCAGTGATGATGTACCATAGATAAGTGGTAATTGTCATAATCGCTATTTTTGAACTTTTTTGAGTTTTTTTAAAGCAAATTGCTAAAAATATATATTCTAAACATGTTAAATTAAAAATTCAGTGAGGATGTATCATAGATAGGTGACAATTGTCATAATCGCTATTTTTGAACTTTTTCAAATTTTTTTAAAGGAAATATCTAAAAATATATATTCTAAACATGTAAAATTAAAAATTCAGTGAGGATGTATCATAGATAGGTGACAATTGTCATAATCGCTATTTTTGAACTTTTTCAAATTTTTTTAAAAGAAATATCTAAAAATATATATTCTAAACATGTTAAATTAAAAATTCAGTGAGGATGAATCATAGATAGGTGACAATTGTCATAATCGCTATTTTTGAACTTTTTCAATTTTTTTAAAGGAAATAGCTAAAAATATATATTCTAAACATGTTAAATTAAAAATTCAGTGAGGATGTATCATAGATAGGTGACAATTGTCATAATCGCTATTTTTGAACTTTTCAAATTTTTTTAAAGGAAATAGCTAAAAATATGTATTCTAAACATGTTAAATTAAAAATTCAGTGAGGATGTATCATAGATAGGTGACAATTGTCATAATCGCTATTTTTGAACTTTTTCAAATTTTTTTAAAGGAAATATCTAAAAATATATATTCTAAACATGTTAAATTAAAAATTCAGTGAGGATGTATCATAGATAGGTGACAATTGTCATAATCGCTATTTTTGAACTTTTTCAAATTTTTTTAAAGGAAATAGCTAAAAATATATATTCTAAACATGTTAAATTAAAAATTCAGTGAGGATGTATCATAGATAGGTGACAATTGTCATAATCGCTATTTTTATTTTTAGATATTTCCTTTAAAAAAAATTGAAAAAATTCAAAAATAGCGATTATGACAATTGTCACCTATCTAAGATACATCCTCACTGAATTTTTAATTTAACATGTTTAGAATATATATTTTTAGATATTTCCTTTAAAAAATTTGAAAAAGTTCAAAAATAGCGATTATGACAATTGTCACCTATCTATGATACATCCTCACTGAATTTTTAATTTAACATGTTTAGAATACATATTTTTAGCTATTTCCTTTAAAAAAAATTGAAAAAGTTCAAAAATAGCGATTATGACAATTGTCACCTTATATGATACATCCTCACTGAATTTTTAATTTAACATGTTTAGAATATATATTTTTAGCTATTTCCTTTAAAAAAAATTGAAAAAGTTCAAAAATAGCGATTATGACAATTGTCACCTATCTATGATACATCCTCACTGAATTTTTAATCTAACATGTTTAGAATATATATTTTTAGATATTTCCTTTAAAAAAATTTGAAAAAGTTCAAAAATAGCGATTATGACAATTGTCACCTATCTATGATACATCCTCACTGAATTTTTAATTTAACATGTTTAGAATATATAATTTTAGCAATTTGCTTTAAAAAAACTCAAAAAAGTTCAAAAATAGCGATTATGACAATTACCACTTATCTATGGTACATCATCACTGAAATTTTGATTTAACATGTCTACAATATATATTTTTATCTATTTCATTTAAAAAAGTTCAAAAATAACCATCATGACAAATGGCACTTTTCTATGTTACATCTTCACTTAAAAATTTTAAAATATAACTATGATGAATAGTTAATCAGAGCATTATAATTTAAAGAAGCTTTAAGTAACTTTCCCGCCTATAATATAAATATATACTAAATGTTATTTGACTTTTGGTCGAAAAAAATGATCTAGATATTGGTAGGGGTGAAAAAAAGCAACCCTAACTTTAAGTCGTCTTTAAAAAAAAGATCCATATTTTGGGTCGGATTGAATAAAACGACCCGATGTTTGAGTCTGAGTCAGAAAAACGACCCAAACTTTGAGTTGGAGTTGAAAAATACGATCTAAACTTCAAGTTTGAGTCGAAAAATACCACCCAAATTTTGAGTAGGAGTCGTAAAAAACGACCCATATTTTGGGTCGAAGTCGTTTTTTTCGGCTTGAACTCGGGTCGAAGTCGAAAAAACGACCCGAGCTTTGGGTCGGGGTCGCGACTTGCGGCGTTTTAACAACACTAGGCACAGCCCTAGAAATTATAATATTAATGCATCCATGATCATTATTATAGAAATGAATATTTAGAGGAACAGATATTACATTATCCAAGAATATCTTAGAACAACTTAGCTAATATGAATGTTATTGAAATATTTTTTACAATTTGCATATATTTTTACAGAAATTTCACTATATTTACATATATTTATTGTATTATAAAATAATATATTTATAAATAAAAACTTTGCAAATTATTTATTACGTAGTTATGTGGAATGTCATATTATAGTTTTAATTCTTTATAAGTTATGGCAGCACCAACTATTATCCCTTATATTTTTTTAAATGCATCTCTAAATTCAATATTATAAATGTAGTAGATATTTAATATATTCATTGTCCATTTTTTATGTCATTACATTTAAAGTAAATTTTATAATGAAAATATAAAATCTTATCTGATGAACAATACTTTAATAAATATAATCTATTCAAGAATTAAGTCTTATCTTTTTCTTAGATAACTTATCCTTCTAAATATACATTTTATTATTCTTGTATAGTCTCTTTGAAAATATAATGTTTAGATACCATATATGCTTTTTATATTATAAAAGACAAATAATATTCGTCCCTTTCCTGAGAGTATAGAATCTTTTTGAACACATTTTTTATTAAAATATTTTGTAATATTAAAAATTAGCAGTATAATAAAAATTGTTGTTGTTTGGTAGTAAAAAAAAATTGAAAATACCTCAGAATTGAAAAAATTTTAGTTTGGAAATGGTCTAATATTTAGGATGTTATATTTGCAGGGATTATTTTATGATTTTTTAGTTAGACAAAAATAAATAAAATTTATAAAAAATCAAGCATTTTTATCAACTGGAAAATAAACTGATCATTCATAGGTTAAAGAGAAGGTAGATGGTTTAAGATTATATGTAAATTAAATCATCAAAGAAATTATTTTAAGAAAGACTTTCTTTATATTAACTATGATATATTATGATGTTGATGAAGCAGTGCATAATTACCTGCACAAAATTATGTATTGTGTAAATTAAGCATACCTTGTGCTCAAAAATATTACTCAAGCCTGGAGAATTTGCTCATAGATAGAAGAATAATTTGGAAATCTATAAACAAAATCTAAAAGCCTGAGTAATTTCTTGGCCTAAATTTTGAAAGAGCCATTTTTAAAAATCGAACCATGATAAAATAATGCACACCTTGAGAGCTCCTAAATTGTGTGCTTTAACTTTTGCAGCTTCAAAATCTTCATTTTGACCTATATTAGCCTTATTAAAATATATATAAAATGTTAATAAATATCATACCATAAAAGCAATAACATTATAATTATTTTCAATAAGCCAAACTAAAATGCATGATGTATCCAATCCCCCAGAATAAGCTAATATAACTTTTTTTGAAGACATGGGTTTAAAATTTGGATTGATGGCTCCAATATGTGCTAACCATTGAATTAAAATTTATATATTTATTGGCTTAACTTAATGACATATATTATATATATTCATATATAAAACTTGGACTTGATGTAATTCTTTATTGCAATCAAATAAACCATTTATACAAAACTATATTAATCATAAATAATCCTATAACAAGATCATAATAATAAAATTATAAAATCGAATATAAACATATTAAATCCATTTCATAATACCCAATGACATATAATAATACCTAGACTGACGATTCATTCATTAAAATGCTTTTTTAAGCACGTATAAATGCAAATCAGCTGGAGACGCCATAAACACCATATTTGTTACATCGATGATAATTTGCTCAATAGCATATTTGAATTTGTTAAGTAAATATTTTAATCAACATACTATGGTTATATTAATATGAATTATTTTCCCATAGTTAGTTTTTATTACCATGATCTGTTAAATTTTATATTTAATTTGCTACTTATTTAATTTTATTAATCAAACATTTTATTTTATCAAAAGCATTATTTTTATTTTCTAAATTATTAATATCTACAATTATTGCGATAATATAGTCATATATTATAAAATAAGTTTAAGCTTTTTGCTTATAATGTGCAGGTAAGCATCAGCAATTTTTATTCAAGTTAGCAATCTTATTATTTACTGTGTGCAATTATATACCTATAGATAAGATTATATAAGAATATTCATATTATAAGTCAATCTAGGGTTTAGGTAAGTATCAATTTTATAACTCAAGATTTAGAAATTGTTTTATTTTGAAAGTTGTTTTTAAAAATATATAAAAATTGTATAATGCTTAGCCCAAAAGTTATAAAAATTTAAATCTGATTTTTGTTAATTAACTATATTATTTTTAAATTTAGTATTCTATTTACATAGCTCTTAAAATAGAAATAAATGTACATATTGTAATATATTTTTATACAGTATAAAAGAATATTAGCTCTAAATTTTCAAATATCTAAAAATGTCCAGGCTGACATAAAAATTTTATGAAATGGTTACCCAAGTTTATAATTTTATATTAAATAAGGAATAAAATTATATAAAAATATAAAATAAAATTATATTTTTTTTGATAATTATCATTCATCATATCATATAATAATAGTTTATTTATATCTATTATTTTTATTTATTTATTTAACATTAAAGAAAATAAATATAACTATAAAAAAATAATAGTATATTTATACTTTATCTATCTGTCTAGTCTACCCATATATATTTATCTAATTGGCCAGCCCTACCTTTATTTGATAAAATTACATCTAAAATTATCCTTAATTGTCTATATCTTCAATTAATAATTATCGTTTTTTATTTAAAGATAGATTGATATGAGTCGCTGTACTTCATGCAAGAATACAAGCTTAACTTCTAATAAAAAAAATTCTTTTCATAGGTTATATATTTTAATTTATTATTTTATAAGATTCTTTTCTTAATTTAAGACATTAATATTATTTTTTTTAAGATTCCCTATCAAGAATGAAATTTTATTATCAAAATGGCTAAAGGCAATGAATAAGGAAAATTTCACTCCTAATAAGTTTTCAAAGCTTTGTGGAGCCCATTTCAAACCTGAATGTTTTATGCCCTCACATTCAGGGAATGCTATTCTAAAGGAAGGATCTGAACCATCCATTTTTAATTCCAGACCCCTTCAGGATGTATAAATATTGAATATATATTTATTTTAAATATTATATTTTTTTAAGATAACAAATATTCCATCGAATAAAAATAATACTCCTACAAATTTTAACTATATAGAAAAAAATGATCATACTTATGCTACTAATATTTACTCTTTAGTTAAAAAGGTAAAATATTATTCCTGTTGCGTTATATACTTTTTGTTTTTGAATTCTTTTTGTTTTTGAATTTTTTATAATCTAATTTTTATTATTTATATAATGTAATTTTTGTTATTTGTTATAATCTAATTTTATTTTATAAACGGCGTACGTAACCTTACTTTTTTAATATTATTTTGCTTTTTTGTATTTCGTTTATATTTTAATTTGGACTTATAAAAAATGTATATAATAGAAGTGTGAAATGGAAAAAATAGTATTAATAGTATTAATAAAGTTAAATATAAATAAACACCTTTTTACCTTTGTGCACATATTCATGTTACTCTACATGGTGCTCCAGTTTTGGCAAAAGAAACTCGCCTCATGGAAATTTTTTTTTAAAAATAAAATTTTTTTCCCTTTGTAAATATGGTTAATAAAAAAAATTATAAAATGGTACAAACAATTCTATATAAGATGGATAAAAAAAGGGTAATCATTTCAAAATTATTTTCATCAATTATGTTCGCCTTCAAAGTACTAAATGTACCCCATCAAATTTCCATCTACGATATTCTATTTGATTTAACTTATAATTGCGATGTCAACTTTTCTAGGATAAACGGTACGGAGGATGTGCTGTTTGAATTTATGAATTTAAGAGACATGATAAATTGCTTTGAATTATTAAACGGGAAACACTATATTTACAGCGATAGTGATTTCATTGAATTAATTTGTATATTCGTTAAAACATAAATAGTTATACCAAAACTTGAATTAATAATATAATAAATGTTATAATTGCTTATTTATGTGTCTTATTAATTAAATATGGAAATTAAACAAGAATTTACACATAAGATCCCTAAGTTAGTGGGTCCTCTTACTGAAATTTATTTAGACAGAATATTAAATTACTTTTCGACCAGTACATTATCGGACTCTATTAAAATTAATACTTTGCTTAATAATTTATCAGACGAAGTTTTTGACGACATTAAGGCAATTTGTTCTGATACCGATATTTTAGATCTTAAAATTGTGATTAAAAAGTTAACCTATCTTTTACCAGCGCTAAATTTAAATACTTTAATTAATAAATTTAATCTTCTTCAACAAAACTCATCAGAGAGTTTTATGCTGTGGTACATTAGAGTATCGAAACTTCATAAGAAATGTAATTTTTTGGACGATAGTAGATTAAAAGAGAAATTACGGACATCTACCTTAAACGATAAGATTAAATACAAATTCACCAAAAATTTTGACCTTACATTGAATCAGATGGTGGAATTAGGGGTGAAATTGGATTCTAGTAATATTAAGTCGGAGGATAATGATATAAGTTATATAAATAAGGATAAAAAGTCCGATAAAGATAAAAATTTTTGCAGTAGAAGTGATAATAATTTTAGAAATAATTTTAGAAATAATTATGATAATAGATATAGAAATGGGAATTACAATAATAATTTTAGATACAATTATGGTAATAATAATTCGCGATACCACGATAATTATAACAATTATAACTATAACAATTATCGCTATAATAATAATAATCAATCGAATTATGGTAGAAATAATACATGGTATGATAATAATCAAAGAAAACAAATCCAATACGGTGACTGAAATCGTAACAATTACCAATCTTATTACAACAATTCAAATAATTATAGAGGTAATGATAATAATCAGAGAAAGCAAATACAATATAACAACAACTCAAATAATTATAGAGGTAATGATAATAATCAGAGAAAGCAAATACAATATAACAACAACTCAAATAATTATAGAAGTGGCGACGAAAATAATAGAAAGCAAATACAATACAATAATGATTACAACATGAATATTGAAGAAATTATTGAAGAAAAAGGCGACTCTACAAAGAACAAAGATGATAATGATTTTAATGTCAACAATTTATCTGGCGATATGATTAATGACAAAGATAACGCTTTTATGACTACTTTAAAAGTGAACGACATTGTTACTTGTATGCAAGTGGACACTGGATCCAAATACACTATTATACCTCATGGTCTGGCTAAAAAACTTGGTATTAGATATCTTAAGAAATCCGAGCTTATGATGGGAAATTAATCAAAATCATAGGAACTACTCAAGTTAAAGTGACTTATGATGGTATTTCCAAATATTTACAAGCGGTAGTGGTTGAATCAATTAATAATGCCTTGTTGGGACGTATGTGGATCAATGCTTTCAAAAATATTTTAAATAAATTTATAGCAAATATTGACACTAATTATGAAGATGAAATAAAAAAATTGATTAAAGAGTGTGAATCGAAATTAACTAATGGGCCAATCAACAAAGCAAGTGTCAAGTTACATTTAAGAAGTGATGCCCAACCTAAAATTATACCGCCTAGACGTATCCCTTATTCAAAAATTGATCTTGTTAGTAATGAACTCAAAAAATAGATACATGATAAAATAATTGAGCCGGTGAATGATGTCCGATGGGCAAGTCCTGTTACCGCTGTCTACAAAGAAGATGGGAGCATTAGGCTTTGCGCTGATTTTAAGGATACTGTAAACCCAGCTCTAGAAGACTTTAGATACCCTCTACCACGAATTAATGATCTAATTGCTAAACTTTCGGAAGGAAAGAAATTTACGAAGATTGACTTTAAAAATGCTTTCTTACAGATTCCAATTGATAAAAGTTGCAGAAATATTTTAACCATATCTACGCATAAGGGATATTACCAATTTACTAGACTTCCTTTTGGGCTTAAGACCTCATCTGCAATTTTTCAACAGATTATGGATCAAATCTTCGGTGACATGGATGACGTTATATTTTATATTGATGATTTACTTATAACTGGAAAAAACGATGAAGCCCACCTAAACAACATAAAAAAAATATTTGATAGGATATCATCGTATGGGCTAATACCTAACTTTAATAAAAGTGCGTTCTTTAAAAACAAAGTGAGGTTCCTGGGTCATGATATTGACGCTAAGGGGATTCATGCTAATCACGACAAAATTGAAGCAATAATTAATATGCCAGAACCAAAATCAGCTGCTGAATTATCAACATTTCTGGGAATGGCTGGCTACTATAGAAAATTTTTGAACAATTTTGCGGAAATTGCCGATCCTCTTTATAAGATTGTCAATAAAGAAAAATGGGCTTGGAACCTAGAACACTCTAAAAGTTTTAATGATCTAAAGAAGTTAATTAGTCTTCCACCTGCTTTGACATATTTTAACCCTGAATTACCTATAGGGATAGCCACTGACGCATCAAAATGTGGTTTAGGAGCTGTACTATTTCATATTGAAAAAGATGGTAAAGAAAAACCTATAGCTTTCGCGTCGAGAACTTTATTAAAGTCTGAAATGAACTATACCAATATTGAGCGTGAGGCTCTCGCTATAATGTTCGCTATAAAGAGAATTCAGGAATATTTAATCGGCACAAAATTTACAATTATTACTGACCATAAGCCTCTAGTTCACATCTTCACCAAGGGTCTTAAGGATAATAGCACCATGTCGTTAAGACTACAGAAGTGGAATATTACATTAGGAGGATATGATTTTAATATAAAGTATAAAGCCGGTAAATATAATGTTGTTCCTGATTGCCTTTCAAGATTACCACAAGAATGTCGTGATGAAACTATTGAAGATGTAACCATAATAAATGAATATGAGGATTTACCTATTAATTTTGATCAAATTCGTGATGAAACTTTGAAAGATACGGAATTAAAACAAGTCATAAATGATATTAATAACAACAGACCTATAATGAATAATATTTATAAAAACATTGAATTGGAATTAAGTATAATTAAGGATTGTCTTTACAAAAGCAATAAAATCATAATTCCGTCTTCTATGAGAAAAACTATACTACAGTCATTACATGAAGGTCACTTGGGAGCAGGAAAAATCAAATCCTTAGCCAAAGATTACATGTGGTGGCCTGGTATAAATAATGATATCGTTATGGAAGTGAAAAGTTGTGACGATTGTAATATATATCATGATAATCCTATAAAGATACAAAAACCATGGGTTTCGGTAACCAAACCGTTTGAAAGGATACATATAGATTATGCGGGTCCGTTTTTCACAAAAAATTGGTTGATAATAGTCGATGCCTACAGCAAATTTCCTATTATTATTCCTGTTAAAAATATTACGACTGATGTTACTTTAAAAGAAATCTTTAAAACTATTTCGCTATACGGAATACCTGAAACTATAGTTACTGATAACGGCACTAACTTTACGAGTAACGATTTTGAAAAATTTTGCAACAATTTTGGTATTAAACATGTGCTTACATCTGCTTATCACCAGCAATCCAATGGCCAGGTTGAACGCATGGTTAGAACGTTCAAAACACATATGAAAAGGAATATTAAAATAGACCCAGATATCGCACTTAGCAAATTTTTACTTAATTACAGAAATACGCGTAATGATACTACAGGAGTTACACCATCACAGAGAATGTTTAATCGAGATATTAGAATTAAATGGGACTTATTAAAACCGATGGAGGAGAAGGAGAATAAAATAAACGTTACTTTACCACGAAATAGAACTTTTAATGTAGGAGATTTTGTTTGGTATAAAATACAAGGTGATGATAAATGGTGCAAAGGTATGATCACACATAAAGAAAGTGATATGATGTTCCAAATTAAGACTGAGAAAGGTATTTTGAGGAGACATTTAGATCAAATAAGAATTAGAAACTGTTTTAACACAAAGACAATTTACGATATGGATATCAAACTTGTGATTAAACAAACCAACGTGCAAAATCGAATTGATCAAACCAACGATTGGGACAAGCCAACGTTATGATGATTTGTGATACAACTTGATTACCAAAATTATAAACCACTTGGACAACAAACTCTCTATGACTTCTCCGATGAAATTATCAGAAGAGGGAGAATGTTGCGTTATATACTTTTTGTTTTTGAATTTTTTATAATCTAATTTTTATTATTTATACAATCTAATTTTTGTTATTTGTTATAATCTAATTTTATTTTATAAACGGCGTAACCTTACTTTTTTAATATTATTTTACTTTTTTGTATTTCGTTTATATTCTAATTTGGACTTATAAAAAATGTATATAATAGAAGTGTGAAATGGAAAAAATAGTATTAATAGTATTAATAAAGTTAAATATAAATAAACACCTTTTTACCTTTGTGCACATATTCATGTTACTCTACAATTCCTTTATAAAAGATCAATAAAAATTTTATTATTAATATTTAAGAAAAAATTAGAAATACCTATTAATACTCTAGAAGTGGAAGGCTTGGAAGAGCCTGTTAGAGATAATAGCCCAGTGAGCCATATTCATTAAATTACTATATACATCAGTGATATGTTTTGATTTTATGGATAGCAATATATTTTTTTTATTATACAAATAATATTTTATTTAAGAAAACATCTACCAGTTATCCAAATTACCTTGAATGTAGGTGCTTAGATGAATCAGTTCGAGCTAAAAAGGTAAAATATACTTTATAAAAGATCAATAAAAAAATTTTTATTAATATTTAAGAAAAAATTAGAAATACCTATTAATACCCTAGAAGTGGAAGGCTTGGAAGAGCCTGTTAGAGATAATTGCCTAGTGAGCCATATTTAATAAATTACTATATACATCAGTGATATGTTTTGATTTTATGCATAGCAATATATTTTTTTTATTATACAAATAATATTTTATTTAAGAAAACATCTACCAGCTATCATAATACTCTTGAGTGTGGGTGTTTAGATGAATCAGTTAGAGATATAAACTATGTAAGTCTATATTAAAATATTGATGTAATTTATTTATTTAATTTTATTAATTAACGATGAAAATTAAAATGAGTTTTTACTAAATATTAATGAACCACTAACCTGAATGAATACCTTTTCAAAAAATATTAATAGGATATACTTAGCACTTCTTTGTGTAAACACTGACTCAACAAAATAATTGACTGTAAATAATAGTAAAGATGCAAATAATAATGTAGTTACATTTCCCAAATATCGAGATGATCATTTATATGCTGCAACGGAAAGTGAGATATCAACAGTTATATATTCAAAAGTTACGAAAAAAGATGAGGGCATCTTCTGATAGAGAAAATAGACGAAATAAAAAAATTTTAAATTTACAATCTCTAACGAAAAAATTGAAAAGTAAACATTTGATAATGGTGAAGGGGAAGATGTACTAGAGGATTTTTTTACTGGACTTCCTTTATCTTTGATTAAAACCCACGTGCATAGTGGAGGATTAAATAATCCTCGGAGAATAAAATATAGCAGCCAAATGAAACAATTTGCTTCTACATTACATTTTTATTCACCCAAAGCTTAAAATTATATAAGAAATAAATTCTGTATGCCTGCAGAATCTACATTGAGATCTTGGAGCCAGCAAATAGAAATAAGGCCAGGTTTAAAATTAATATATTTATATAATTTATAATTATAATAATTTTATTTAGGTTTTTTAGATTCTTCCTTCAAAAGGATTAAAACATTTCAATCAAATTCGCATGTACAATTATTTACTATTTTAAGCCTTGATGAAATGTCTATTCGGCGACATATTCATTGGGATAAAAAAGTGTTTCATGGATATATAGATTTTGGTAATGGAATAAAACCTTCCGAATCTCTACCTGAGGCAAGCAAAGCTTTATTTCTTATGGCAACTTGTTTCATGGAAAATTCCTTTAGGATATTTTTTAGTAGCTTATCTCAGTGCTTAGATCTTATCAAACATAGTAACTAATGCACTCCATTTATTACATGATACTGGGGTCATCTGTAAGGCAATGGTATCTGATGGCCTTTCAACTAATATCAAAATATGTCAAATACTTGGCGCCTCTTTGAATCCAAATAATTGTGTTCCATATTTTAGTCATCCTAGTAATTGTGAAGAAAAAGTGTATGTTATATTGGATGTAAGCCATATGATGAAGCTACTTAGAAATCTGCTCGGTGATAAAAAAATTTTAATCAATAATAATAATGGAGCTGTAATTACTTTTAATTCCTAAATGTTATTTTTACAAATAGATAATAAATTGGAAATATATAAAAAATCTTCACAATTTACAGGATAAGGAAGGACTAAGGGCTGCTTATAAAATTGGCCGTTCTCATCTTGAGTATCATAAGCAGAAAATGAAAGTACAATAAAAAGAAATATATACTTTTAAAATATTATTTTTAAAGGTTAAACTTGCCGTTCAAGTTTTTAGTAGCTCAGTGGCTAAAGGAATTATTTTAGCGCAAGAGCTAGGAATTGAGGGGTTTGAAAACTGTGAAGGCACAGTAGACTTTATTCAAATGATTGATCAGTATTAAATAAATATATTAATAATATTTTTATAGAATGTTTGATTTTTTAAAACTCGAAATATTTCTGCTAAAGGGTTTAAGGCTCCATTATCAAAAAGATCCCTTCCCTATTATAAGAATTTTTTTGAAAAATGTTTTAATACCCTTAAAGCTCTAAAATTTGAAGATGGAAGATATGTAGGTGAATCAAATAGAAAAACCTGCATCATGGGGTTAATAACATCAATGAAAAGTATTATTGATTTATAAAATATAAAATTTAATATTAGTTTATAAACAAATTGATTTAAAATATAAAAGTTGTTTTTAACAAAAAGAAAGAAACTGATTTATAAAATATAAAATTTAATATTAGTTTATAAACAAATTGATTTAAAATATAAAAGTTGTTTTTAACAAAAAGAAAGAAACAATTCTTATTACATTTGAAATATTTTAAGTTACGCCATAAATGGCTTAAGGATGTTAAAAAAAAAACAATTTTTTAAAGTTAATACTGTTTAACAGGACCTATTCCCAAACTCAAGTATTTTATATATATTTTTCATTTTTATTTTAAAATATTTGCATATCTTTTAAGACTGATTTTAATTATTATAAATTTTTTTAGTTGCTTTTCAAGCTCAGGTATTTTTTCATTTTTATTTTAAAATATTTGCATACCTCTTAAGACTGATTTTAATTATTATAAATTTTTTTTAGTTACTTTTCAAGCTCAGGTATTTTTTCATTTTTAATTTTAAAATATTTGCATACCTCTTAAGACTAACCTTAATTATTATTAATTTTCTTAATTATTTTTCATATTTTAGATACGTTTTAACCTACAAAACCTCCCAAGATCATCTTGAACTATTTTTTAGTTGTTTACGCAGCAGAGGAGGGTTTAACAATAATCCATCCGCTTATCAATTACGATCTGCCGTTAGAGCCGTCTTGATAGGAAAAATGGATGCATTAACAACAGGTAATTGTATTCCAATCGACAATACTAACCTTATTTGTGGAGATTATCAAAAAAATGATAATGATGATGACCATATATATCCTATAGATATATCATTTATAGATGTGCCAAATATCCCAAAATTATCACTCTACCTTTATTATGTTGCAACATATATATCTGGTTATATAATACGTAAACTTATATCTGAAAAAAAGGTAAAATGTTATAATTGTATATCTGCTATGATCGATAAAACTTGTGAAGATAATGAGAACCACAATTTAATTAAAATAAAAAACAATCAAGGATTAATAATCCCTTCAAAGAGCGTATCTAAATTATGTCAACTAGCAGAAAGTGCATTTCGTATTTTTGAAAAGAATAATCAAATAAAAAAGTCATTTATATTTAAATGCATAGTATCATTTGTTATTTCTAAAGCAATGGAAACAAACATTTTTGATGATCTGGTAGATCATATGCTAAACCAGGAGGCTACATTTAGTCATTATCAAATATTAATTACATTAATAGTGGAACGCTATATAAACATAAGGTTATATCATTATGCAGATAAACATAAGAAAAATTCAAATATCAATATTCGGCAGAAGTTGACGAAAACCATTCTATTCGCAGGACAATAAATATATTGGCACATGATCTTTTTTAATTTATATTATGACTGTATACATTAAAATATGGATGCTATATATTAATGAATTTTGTAATTTATCGTACATTATATCTATTTTCTAATTTATAATAAAATATGGATGCTATATTAATGAATTTCGTAATTTATGGTACATTATATCTATTTTCTAATTTATAATAAACTATTTCTTGTAATGATACAACATTTAATCTTATTAGAGGTATGGATGCTATATATTAATGAATTTTGTAATTTATCGTACATTATATCTATTTTCTAATTTATAATAAAATATGGATGCTATATTAATGAATTTCGTAATTTATGGTACATTATATCTATTTTCTAATTTATAATAAACTATTTCTTGTAATGATACAACATTTAATCTTATTAGAGGCTTTAGTATCTTGAAAAATTATTGATTTTCATCATATAATTAATATGTCCATTCTTCTAAAAATAAGAGATAAGAGTAAGCTAAATTGATCTAAAATTATTAATCTTTATTTTATCTGTTTGAAAAAAAAATATATTAGTGATAATTGTTTTATTGATAAAATAAACTGGATAATATAATGTAAGGAAGAACAAGTTGTATGCGATATATCTCTTGTTTGCAATACAGAATTTATCCTAAGAAATATAGTAAATCAATAATAAATATAATAAACATAAAAAATTGAATATTACAAAAAGGAATGATAAAACTTATTAAAAATAATAAATAAAATAAAACTAATTGGAAAAAATAAATACCAGAGATCAAGATTTTACATGGGTAAGGATATCCTAATAAAAGTAAAAATTCCATAACTGCTATATGGTTGCTAAATGTTAAATAGTTAATAAGATTCAATTTAACTCCTTAAAATATTAAATTCATAAGTATTTCATTTCTTTAATCATAATAAATATTATGTATAATATAAAAATCATTTTGAATTGGACTTTAAGAAGATTAACAAAATACTATAGTACTTTAATAAATACTACATATTTATTTATATGTAAAAAAAAATGTTATATTATTAAGAATATATCTGAAACTAAGCATTTATTTTTATATTATAAATATTATTGTAAAATCATAATTTATCCAGAATATTTGAAAGGATATTTTAATTGATTTCCTTAATTTTGCATGAATTTCTGCTTAATACATCAGAATAGCCATTTGCATGAATTTCTGCTTAATACATAAGAATAGCCATGGAATATTTGAAAGGATATTTTTATTGATCCTTAATTTTGCATGAATTTCTGCTTAATACCTCAGAATTGCCATTTGCATGAATTTCTGCTTAATACATAAGAATAGCCATGGAATATTTGAAAGGATATTTTTATTGATCCTTAATTTTGCATGAATTTCTGCTTAATACATCAGAATAGCCATGAGGATATTTTAATTGATTCCCTTAATTTTGCATGAATTTCTGCTAAATAGTTAAGAATAGCCATGGAATATTTTATAGGATATTATAATTGATATTCATTATATTTTTTTATATTATAAATTTTATCATCGATGTAACCAACATGGCGTCAATGGCGTCTCCAGCTGATTTGCATTCATAAGTACTTTAATAAATGAATCGTCAGTCTAGGTATTATTATATGTCATTGATAATACCCGGCAAATCTTCTCGAACTTTCCTCTATCTCCAAAACCATATGATTTAAATTTATTTTTCATGTCTGTCAACTTTGCATCCACTTTTTGGGGAGTAGGGGGTAGCGCCTCTAAAGGGTGTTAGGGGTTATTTATTAAATTTTTAAATTAAGTAGGACAAAACATATTGCTGTATAAAATAATACTTTTATTATAGACCTGTTATAATACAATATTATTCGACCAAATCTAAATATTGCATAATCATAACAATATTTTTCAAATATAACTTTCTTGTTATCCTTTTATGTAATTTAAAAGGTTCAAACATTCTTTGCAAACTCATATTCACGTCAAAAATATACTAGAATAATGCATTCATTGTAAATGAGGGGGATTTTAATTGAATTCAGGATCTAAAAAAATAACTCTTTTATATTCACAATTTTGATAGTTGGTAGGAGCTAAAATATTATGTTATTCTTTTAAAATCTATGAAAGGAATGAAATAAATAATGTAGGATTTTAGGGAGGTATGCATAGGTTTATGAGGGGAGTGCGCATCGAGTGAAAATTCTGTCATGTAGCCGCTGGATGTCTATCTCCGTGTTCGGTACCTAATCACTACATCTCTCCCCCACCTCCTTTTTCCAATCCAAGAGATCCTCGTGCGATAGCAAACTTAAGATGGTTCAAATCGCGTTAAACTTTGAATGGTCCTCTAGGGTCCCATTATCGCTTGGATGGCAACCCGGTTAATAAATTTTGTACCCACTATTGTCATCAATCGCAAAACATTAAATGCATCTTGAAAAATCCGTTATATCTTGCACCACCAGTAAGTCACTGTAACCACCCCCATCAATTTTCCCCTGATCCAACTTCTCCTCCTTATTATTATAACTGAGTAGTCACCATTTCCCAGAGGCATCATCAATGGATTATCCCCTTTTCACTTGAATCATCTGAGTAACTACCCAAGTTTCTTCTATATACAATATTGATTTTAATTATCTTCCGAATAGAGGGTGGTGAATAGAGTTGTTAATTCATAGCCCCACTCATCCTCATATCAACCTCTATGGGTAGCCCAGAGTCTCATCCAATTTTTATAATTACATCTAATTAGCCAGGTTCTTTTATTAGTAATCATTTTTTAAATATCCGAATTAGCCATTTTCTTTTATCAGTCCTTTTCGCAATGTCCAAACTAATCAAGTTCTTTTTATCAATAATCTTTTCCAAATGTCCTTTAGCCAACTTCTTCTATTCCAAATTAGCCAGTTCTTTTATCCGTAATCTTTTTTCCAATTTCTATATTACCATCAGCGTCTACATGACAAGATTTTCACTGGATGCAAACCCCTTCAAAAACTTTTGCCTACACCTTTAAAAATTTCGCCGCCTTCGGCGCCTGTGTCTGTCTATTACTATTTTTACCTTTTTCAGTTATTGATACTCTTTTCAGAGAATTTATCTAGGATAACTTAAATTAATGTATTCTACTACCAACTATCAATATTTTGTGAATATACAGAATTTATTTTTAGGATAATAAATTCAATTAAAACCTCCATTATTTACAATGAATTAATTATTATGGCATTATGAGCTTGCTGAAATATCTAAACCTTTTAAATTATTTAAAAGGATAGCAGAAAGTTTTATTTGGAAAACAATGTGTATGATTGTTTGCAATATATAGATTTGGTCGATGAATTGTTTAACGAAAGTAGAACCATTATTTATATTTATTTATTTCTATAACTCATTTAATAGGTATCAGTTTTCATTGGCATTTTATTCAGTATAATTAAACATAAGGTGCAACTTAATTACAATGGCGATATATAATTACACGTTAAGAGATTGATGTGTACATAATACATTAGGAAGTTAAACAACAACTATTATATTAATCGTAAATATATATATATAACAGTGGCGTAGGCATGATGGGGGGGGGTCAACCCCCCCTCCCCCCTCCCCCCCCCCCATGAAAAATGAAAAAAAAATTTTTTAATTTTATTTTTAAAACATTTTTTTTTTAATTTTTTAATTTTAATTTAATAAATTCTTAATATAAACGCTTGATTTTTATGTTTTAAATTTATTATAAATAATAATAGATATACACATTTGATTATTTTTATATTTATTTTTGGTTTGCAGCTATTTCACACCACCCCAAAAAGGGAGACAAAAATCTTAAAAAAAACTAAAAAGATTTTGTATCGAAAGACAAGAGTCAGTGAAGCTCTTTATTGAACTATATGATGTTGCCTTTGCAGCACTAGAATTTTATATATCAAGCAAGGAAAAAGATCAGCAGATGCCGAAAATCTTTTGCAGGCTATTATTAAGCCACAGTTTTTAATTTCAATTCAATGTGTTTATTTTTTATTTAATTATACATATGATTTTAGCAAAATGCTACAAAAAATTGATTTAGATTTAAGGGAGATTATGAATAGAGCAAAGGATATTGTTGAAATATTAACAAATATCAGAGAGAATGTGGATGAAAAATTTCATGAAATATATGAAAAAGTAAAGGAGATTGTTAATATGTTCGGAATTGAAATTTTTAAACCTAGAGTAGTCTCTAGACAATCCAATCGATCAGATATTGATGCATCTACGATTGAGGATTTTTATAAAATAAACATTTTTATTCCCCTTATTGATACATTTTTATTTCAATTAAAAGAAAGATTTATTACTCATAATTATATTTTAAAAAGCTTTTATTTTCTTTTGGCGGTTGAGTCTAAATTGTTGATTACACTTGAAACACGAGAGGATATTAAAAAAATCTCAGAGTTTTATGCTGATGATTTAGTAGATTCATATGATAAGTTACTTTGTGATGTCGAATTTTGGTATAAAAATCTTGACAGAATAGGGTATTCTTTGAGACCAAAAAATGCTCTGCAGGCCCTTTCCATGTGTAATTGCATTTTAGATTCCCTGCCTAATATCAAAACATTATTAATTATTTTAGCTACCTTGTCAATTAGTACTGCACTAATGAAAGGTCTTTTTCAACTTTAAAAAGGTTAAAAACCTATTTAAGAAACACACGGTGAAAAACGTTTAAATGGATTAGCTCTATAGAATATATTTAAGGAGATTATTTTAGATAAAAATTTGATCTAGATGTATTAGCAAAATCTCAGAGAAAAGTAGATATCTCTTTTTAAATTCAAATCAAAAAATAGCAATAAAATTTTATTAGTTTTAATATATAATCAATTTTTGTAAAAAAAGTATTATTTATAAGATAATATCATCATATTTTTTTAAAAACCATTATTTGCATAAGAATTACACATATTTTATATAATTGTAAAAAATTACTTTTTTTTAAATAGAGTCTTTATACAATACATTATCATTTTTAATATTAAAATCTGTATTATATAAAATATCAACATTTTGAAAATATTTTAATTAATAAAAATATATACATGATTAAATAAATGAATATAT